GAGAGGGAGAGGAAGAGAATCTCAAGCAGACTCCCCACTGACCATAGAGCCCAACACAGGGCTCCATCTCAGGACTCTGAGATCATGACCTGGGCCAAAACCAGAAGTCAGTCATTTAATCGACTGAGCCACCCAGGCACCCCTCAATTGTTTTAACTAAAATAACCATATGCCAAAAGTGGCCTGTTTCGCAGTGGCATACCCTAAACTCCTTCATTTCCCCCTACCTAAAACTTTCTCGTAAATCTCATATATTAAAAGCTTAGTGACTATAGGGAGAAATTTGAGTTAGAAGTTGTGATATAAGATACCTGTAAAAAGGGGAGAAAAACAGATTGTAACAAGCAGAAAAGAACAAATCTAGGCATGATGTCCCATTGTTCACTGGCTCAGTCTCTTAGTACTGAGACTAGGTCCCTTCAGTTTGTATTCATCCTACTTTGGGTTCATTGAGCTTCCTGGATTTATAATTTATAGTTTTATCATATTTCTCTTTTTTTGGTACATTTTTCCATAAATAATATTTTTATATGCCCGCCTCCTCTCCTTCTGGGACTCCAATTCCATAACACTTAAAATACTCTGTAAAGGTCATTTGTTTTTGGTTTTTTTTTAAGATTTTATTTATTTATTTATTTGACAGAGAGAGAGACAGCGAGAGAGGGAATACAGGCAGGGGGAGTGGGAGAGGAAGAGGGAGAAGCAGACTCCCCGCCGAGCAGGGAGCCCGATGTGGGGCTCAATCCCAGCACCCTGGAATCATGACCTGAGCTGAAGGCAGATGCTTAATGACTGAGCCACCCAGGCGACCCCAATTCCATAGCACTTAAAATTGTTTCATAGGTCACTGGTGCTCTGATCATTGTATCTTGAATTTTCTCTCTGTGCTTCACTTTGAATAATTTCTATTGCTAAGCATTCAAGTTTGCTGATATTTTCTTTTGCTGTGTCAATGAATTTTTCATTTCAGCTATTGCATTTTTCATATTTAAATATTTCATTTGGTTCTATTTCATAGTTTTATTTCTCTCCTCATGTTCATATTTCCTTTAAATCCTTGGGCATATTTCTAACAGCTCATTTAAGGTCCTCTTCTGCTAATTCCATCATCTTTGTGTTTTCTGGGTCTATTTATATAAACTGATTTTTCTTTTTTTTCTGATTTTTCTTTTTCTATTGGTCACTTTCTTGCTTCTTCTCATGTCTGCTAGTTTTTGATCGGATGCTGGATATTTGTCTGGATTTTGTTCTTTAAAGTGTTGAACTAGAGGGCAGGTGATTAAGTTACTAAGGATAGTCTTCTTTCTGTCAAGGTTATTTTATTTTAGTAAACTCTACCCCCAACATGGGGCTCCTATTCATGACCCTGAGATCAAGAGCCATATGCTGTACCAACTCAGCCAGGCAGGTGCCCATCTTTCAAGGTTTTAAAGCTTTGTTAGGGAAGATTGAGTATAGTCTCTCCTCTAGGGCTGAGTTAGTCCCGACTACTGAAAGAGAACTCATCTAAGAGCACTACTAATTCCACAGGTGTTCAACAAAGTCTTTCTGCTCTGTTTGAAAATCATGTGTCTCTCAGCCCTAGGTAAAGTCTGGTAATTACTTGTTTTTTGTTCTTTGTCTGGCTTTATGAAATTTCACACTATGTGTGTACTGCTTAATATGCAACCAAAGACTCAAGAATACCCCATGCATATTTCCGCAGCTCTTTCTTTTGCATGGCTCCTATCTCTCTGATATCCTGATACACTAATCCCAGTGGCCTCCATCTTCACCAACTACAATGTCTATCCCTTTACCTCAGTGAATCTACTGTTCTGCCTGGGTACCACTTCCAGTACCACGGTCCAGAAAGTACCTCCAGGCAAAGTTCTCTAGAGATCATTAAGCTCACCTCATTGGTTTCTCTTCTCTCAGGGGTTCAAGTCTTGTGCTGCCTGCTGTTCAATATCTGACAACAGTTTCATATATTTTGTCCATGTAGTTATTTATGGCAGGATGACAAGTTCAGTACGAGTTCCTTCATTATGGCCAGAAACAGAATTCTGTTCATTTGTCTTCAATTTTTTTTTTTCCTGTTCTTCAGATTGGATGATTTTTATTGATCTGTCTTCAAGTTTACTAATTCCTTTTTCTGCTATCTCCAATCTGCTACAAGTGACTTTTTCACTTCAGTTATTGTACCGTTTGGTTCTAGAATTTCCATTTGTTTCATGTTTGTAGTTTCTGTTTCTCTATTAAGATCACATTTTCCTTCAATTATTTGAATATATTTTTAATATCTTTTTAAAAAGATTTTATTTGAGAGAGAGAGAGAGAGAGAGAGCATGAGTAGGGGGAGGGGCAGAGGGAGAAAGAGAAGCAGAGCCCCCACTGAGCAGGGAGCCTGATGTGGGGCTCAATCCCAGGACCCTAAGATCATGACCTGAGCCGAGGGCAGATGCTTAACCATCGGGGCCACCCAGGCGCCCCTTTAATAGCTCTTTTAAAGCCGTTGTCTACTAAATCCAATGTCTGGGCTTCTCAAGATTGCTTTCCATGAGTTTATTTTTATGGGCCTTACTATAGGCCACATTTTCCTGTTTCTTTGCATGTCTGATAATTTTTTTAAAGATTTTATTTATTTATTTTAGAGAGAGCAAGAGCAAGGAGGGAGAGAGGCAGATGGAGAGGGAGATGATCTCAAGCGGACTCTCACTAAGCACAGACCCTGACACGGGGCTCGATCTCAGGACTCTGAGATCATAACCTGAGCCGAAACCAAGAACAGGCACCCCATGCATGTCTGATAATTTTTTATTGTGTCCTAGACATTTTTTTTATTTTATTTTTTAAAATATTTTATTTATTTATTTGACAGAGAGAGACACAGCGAGAGGGAACACAAGCAGGGGGAGTGGGAGAGAGAGAAGCAGGCCTCCCATGGAAGAGGTAGCCCCATGCGGGGCTCAATCCCAGGACCTTAGGATCATGACCTGAGCTGAAGGCAGACGCTTAACGACTGAGCCACCCAGGGGCCCCTGTCCTGGATATTTTAGATGATATGGTTTAGAGACTGGATTCTGTTTTGTTTGGAAACCGGACTCTTCCTTTGATGAGTGTTAATTTTTTTTTCTTGTAGGCAGTTCAGTTACTGGCTGATCACTTCAAGTTTATGTAGTCTTGGTTTTTTACTTTGTTAGGACATATTTGTGAAAGGCCCAGGTGTTACCTCAACCCTCTAACTTGGTAGACTCAACTTCCAAACTCTGTTTCTCCTGTGAATTTTAGTTTTAGGTAAGGTCTGTAGTAGACAGAGGTCTATTATGGGCTGCAGGCCACATTCTGCTCGCTGTTTTTACAGTTAAACTTTTATCAGAACACAGCCACATCCATTCATCCACACTTTAGTATATGGATTCCTTGATGCAACACTGGCAAAACTGAGTATCCATGATCGCTTCTGTGATAATGAAATTGTCTACTTCTCCTTGTAGTTTTATCAGATTTTGCTTCATATTTCATTTTTAGAATTTTGTATTTCCTGATGAACTGAACATTTTATCATTATATGGTAATCATTTGTGTCTCTAGTAATGCTTTTTGTCTTAAGGCCTAGTTTTTAAAATATTAACATGGTTATACCAACTTCCTTTGCTTAGTATTCAACTGACATAACTTTATCCTTTGAGTTAATTCTTAAAAACTTAAACATTGTTTAAAAAGCCAAATAGTCCAAAAAGGTTTATAATAAACCCTTGTAGTTCCCCACACCACTCTTCACCATGCTCCCCACTCCCTGAAGTCTCCCTTCCCAAAACAAATACTTTTGACTCTCTCCTTACTTCGAAAACATATGCATGTACTACAGTATTTTGGTTAGTGATTTTTTTGACTTGTATCTATTGACTTCCTATTATGGTATGGGTTTAGCTGTCTGATACAACCATCCCCTAAGTTCCCCTCTACCTATTCTAATATATTATCATTTTTCGCTAAATAATTTGGGGGGGGTTCTATTATTATGATATACAATTTTTAATAGCTGAGTATTTTATACTATGATTTCATTTCCTTGCCTTTCTAGTTCCTGAAGTTGACAATTGCCTTGATTTTGTTTTCTTTGTACTCATTAATAATTCCTGTGCTGCCTTCTTAGAGTTTCTTTTTCTTTTTTTTTTTTTTTTTTTTTAAAGATTTTATTTATTTATTTGAGAGAGAGAATGAGATAGAGAGAGCATGAGAGGGGGAGGGTCAGAGGGAGAAGCAGACTCCCTGCTGAGCAGGGAGCCCGATGCGGGACTCGATCCCGGGACTCCAGGATCATGACCTGAGCCGAAGGCCGTCGCTTAACCAACTGAGCCACCCAGGCGCCCTAGAGTTTCTTTTTCTTGGAGGCATGTTCTAAATAATCCCATTATTCTCACTTTTGGATTAATTTTTTAAGCCTGTTGCTGAGCTGTCATCTTGGGGGTCTGTTGTCATCCTAGGAATTCTTTCTTCCTTTCCTCTGATTAGGATTCTCTGTTTGTTAGATTACATGCCTTACTCTTCTTGGTTTGCTTAATCCTTCTTGGCTTGTTTGGTTTAGTTAAAAAGTAATGGAAGCATGTTTCCCTAGTAGCTTTTTTTGGGTTGTAAAGGAAGTGATTCAACAACTGCTGCAGGAATGCCACCCCTATTCTGTCTTCTACGCTATGGTGATCTAATCTAAACTTGTTGTCCTTTATGACAGTTGCACTACCAACATGGGATCTCCCTTTACCATCTTCCTTTACTGTCACCTCTCCTGTGTTGGAATTTCTGTTTTCTATATGTGTATCTTCCTTTTCTGTTTTGGTTTATGCCCTCATTTTAGAAGAATATATCCTCCAGTATCTTCCTGAGGAAAGAACGCATGGGATACAAAATTTTTGAGATTTTATGTGTCTGCAAAAGTTTATTTATAGTCACACTGAGTAGTTTAGCTGGATATAGAATTCTATATTTTTATATTAGTTCAGGAATAGACCCCGATGCACTACAGTTCAAACAAGATAGTTTATTTCTCTCTTATATTGACAGTCCAGAAGAAGCAGGCAGGAAGACGAGGCTGCCCAGCACACAACTTATTGTTTCTTTCTAACTTATTGTCGCACCATTCCCTAGGTCAATCCTAAACCAATTTACCAGCAACACATCTGAATTTAAGCCCACGGAAAGGGGAGAGAGGAAGTGGAGAGCAAGCAATGTCCTTTAAAACTGTGACCGAGAAAGTTGCACACATTTTGCTCATGTCCTTTTGGCCCTTGTGGAGTGAAGTTATTTCTTGGCCATCTTTTTTACTCAACATGTTGCCTTTTCGTTTCCTAGTTTTACACAGAGGTCTAGATCCAACTTCCATGTAAGGGCTCTGTTATCCATTTTCTGTGTTCTATGTGTGAAGCTCATCAAACCCCCAAATTCCAGGTCCGAGAGACAGGCAGAGACCGTGACAGAACCAGCAACTTAAGCCTTAAGTGTTTCCCAGCACCGAGTAGCATGCCCACCCCTCACCACTGCCTCAAAGCCCTGGGTGGTCTGGCTCTGCCATCTTGCTGCCCACATCTCCCACTCTTCCTCACATACCAGGCTCTAGCCCCTTTGGCCTCCTTGCCATTCCTACAGCTCACTGAGCTCTTTCCCACCTCCTTTCCACATGCCATTCCCTCTGCCTGACTTTTCCTCCAGAGATACCCATTTGACTTGCTCCCTCCCCTCATTCTGCTCAAATGTCACCACCTCTGAGACTTTTGCTGACCCCTGTGAGCTAAATAGCCCCTCATCACTACCCACTATCCAGCTCTTACTTGCCCCCATTACACCCACCACTATCGACATGGTATTGTATTTATTTGTTCATGGTCTGACTCTCCCTCTAGGTGCATGCCTAGGTGGTCAATTTAGAAAGGGATTCCAGGGAGGAGCGAGAGAAGGAATGTGAACAGAGGAGGGCCAATACAAGCATGTGTTGAGTCAACCACCCCCAGGATCTTCTGAGGAGACTAGGGATAGTGGTTCAGAATTCTGTCAGGAGAAGAAAGAGAAACCTGTATACCTCAGCTGCTAGCTCCTTTGGTCAAGGGTGGCCCCCACCGTGGTTTCAGAGAAGCTCCAGGAAGGCAGCTTCTGAGGTGAGGCCACCTCAGACTGTCCCTGTGCAAGGCTGTTCCAAGTCCGTGTGGAAGTGGTCACTGTGGCAGTGGCCGGAGTGAGAGAGGGGCTGGGACACTAGGAGGCAGGGGCCTTCTATGGAGATCTCCTGCACTGCTTTCCCAAGCACCTAGATGCATGGCCGGCCTGCAGTAAACACCCACTGAGTATCTGCTGAATGCATGAGCAGAGCCGCAGTCTAGTGGGCAGGCAAGTCGCCGTGAGTCAAGAAAATAAAACTCAAATCTGGAAGATGAGCAGGTTAATCGCACAGCTGTCTTACCGAGCACTTGTACATCTAAGTAAAGTATCAGTGACGGAAAGCATAGGGGACACTGACCAGGCTTTCCATGGGCCACGTTGCTGAGTGCTTGATGGGCCTTGTTATTTAATCCTAGAACGTAAAGACTGTTTGATCCATTTTACCCAGCAGAAACCTGAAGCCCAGAGAAGTCATGTGACTTGCAGAGATAGGGTCGGGGTGACTGGAGTCCAACACAAGGCAGTGACAGGGAGTTAATGGCAGAGCTGGGACTAAAACCCAGGTCTCCTAACTCCTGGGCTTGTGTCCCTGTCCCAGAGCTGGCCAGACAGAACAGGGGCTCAGAAAGAGGGAGGGGGGAGGGGAGGTGAATTAAACACAGCCAGGCTGAGCTGGGCGGGCACTGCCTCCCCAGCTATTACCAGAAGAAGCTGAAGGAAGGCACCTGTAAGGCCCGAGAGATGGAGTTGGCCATAAGCCGGCTGCGGTCCCGGAAGAAGCTTCCCTACAACCCCCAGCAGTCAGACTTGGAAGTCCCAGAACGAAGGGTCCTCAGGATCCTGAGCCGGCTGAAGCAGCAGAACTATGGTGAGGGCCTTGGGCACGGCGAGCACTCTGCTCTCCTGCCCCCCTGGCCTCTTTCCCTGGGCCCCAGACCCAGGAGCTGAGAGACATGATTTCCCACTTTGGGCTTAACTGTGTGCATCAGTCAATGGTCTGAAAATCACCACCCCACCTCTAGCCCTCTGACAAGGGCCTTCTGCACTCTTCCCTGGGGCTCAGCCCTGAGCACACGTTGGTCCCGAGAGCCTCCACTGAGCAGGGAGGGCGATTAGCAATCGCAGCTCCGCATTTACTGAACACCCACTGGGGTCACTCCCCATGCTAGGCCCTTTGTAGACGTGCTAGAATTTAGTGCTTACGATCACATATTTACCCCATGTTACAGATGACAACAGTGAAACTGAGCAAGTGTAAGCCCAAGGCCCAGGGCCCCACAGCTAACCTGTCAAGAAAGGGCAGTTTATACCCAGGTCTGACTCCAAAACCTGTGCTTTCACTGGGCAAGGCTGCCTCCCTGTAAGAGCAGTTGCCACTGATTAAACTAGGAGTCCTACTGTGTGCCAAGTGATAGGCTAGGAGCTTTCCAGAGTCTCTCTAGTGTGCCTACCAGACTGCCAGGACCCATCACAAAGATACGTGTTCCTGTGTAAGCTGTTACGAGCCCTTACACTGTGCTTGGTGTTCAGTGACATGCTGTGCATGTATTATCCCTTTAATCCTCATCGTCAGCTCTGTGAGGTGGGTACTCAGCCCCAGCTTACACAGAGGCTCAGAGAGGTTAACCGATTTGCCCAAACCCACCCAGCTCAGGATGTGGCAAAGCTGGGATTTCAGCTGGGTCTGCCTGCCTCCCAAGGCTGGGCTTGCTCTGAGGCACTCCCCGCTCCTGCCTCCTCCTTCCTCCCTTGCCAGATGCCAACCTGCAGAGCCCCTACGCCCAGGTGCCCTGTGTCCCGTTCTGCCCTCGGCTGGACAAGAAGATGACCCGTCAGAAGCAGGGTAGCCACTGCGTGCTGGACCCGTGCACCCCCACCAGCCTGGGCCCTGACATCCGGAGCCTACTCTTCCAGTCAGGATCTCAAGGAAGCAGGTGGCTGCCCAGAAGGCAGGAGCTCCAGCCCAGGCCCATCCCACCTCTTTTCACAAGGCCCTGGCCTAGCCCAAGGGGAATCCATCCTTCCAGCAGATGATGCCCAGGATACTGCTGCTCCAGGGAGGAAAAGGGGGACAAGGGGGAAAAGACGGAAGCAGTAAGGAGCTAAGCTTTACTGAGGGCCCACGTGCTACACCGACTGTGCTTAAGTCAGGGCACTTCCGCCTTGCTGTGCCCAGACTCAGTGGCACATACCGTCTTTCTCTCAGGCTGGTACCACCACGTAGGGGGTTAGCTCGCAAGTCCTTTGCCCGAGTCTGACTCCATGTAGGAGCGGTAGGAAACAGGCTTGACTGCTGGATGGAGGGAAGCTTCCCCTGCCAGTCCTCTTCCAGGCGCTTTGGGGGCAAAAGAACTCAGGACTTGCAATCAGGCCCCTGAGCCCAACTACTTGGCTCCATTGCTTCCCAGGGAAGCCGCCTCTCCCCTGGGGCACCTGGGAATGGCTCCTTTCCTCCCACCCTTCTCCTCACCTCTCTCCCTAGGGAACACGGCTCTGAGAGCAGAAAGTGGCTCAGCTCTGTGCCGGCTCGAACCCACTGACCTCTGGAGTCCCGACTCTGAGCAGCTGTTCACGACCTGCAGGTGGACAGGTCATTAGGCAGGTATCGCTGCTGGATTTTGCTTTTGTGGCCTGGTAAGCCAATAAACACCAAGAACCTTGGCCTCTGTGTCTGGTGCCAGGGGAGGCCCCCAGGTTTTCACCCTTCCACTTGGCTCTCAGAGTGCAGGGCCCCAGCCTCCCTCAGGCTTAGGAAACCCTTAGGCAAGACACACCTTGAAACCCTGCCGGGGTTGGGGATCCTGCTAGAGGGACCCTGGGTGCCAAGTTTTGACCTTCTATGCACTCTCAAAGCACAGAGCTGGGACTCTCTTCAGATAAGTGTCTCCCCCCAAAGGCAGAGACCATCTCTCCCCACTTGCTCGAAGGGAATGGTGGGAAAGATTCTGGACCCTAAAAGGGATAGACAGACCCTGCAGAAGGGCAGGAGGGGTCTCAGCCATGCTCTCACCAAGAGAGCCCCAGGACCCATGGGGGCCCTTCTCCTGGAACCTCAGGGTGTGTGGGTCTTTGCCGCCCCCCAACCCACACACCACCCCAGACCTATTTCTCTAACAAAGGTAGCTCCCCCAGTGGTTAAACAAGCAGGCACAGCAAGAGGTTAGGAGGCCAGGGACTGAAATGAGGACAAGGCACTGACAAGTTTAAAACATGTATTTAAAATACAATTTATAAAATGCTTAATCTGCCGACTCAGGAGCCCGCGGTGCGGGGTGGGGTGGGGTGGGGTTGGCAGCTGCCCGCTAGACCAGCAGAGCAGGACTGCAGGGGTGCGGCCCTCCCTCCCATGCCCTTCTGTTCAGACACCCAAGGGGCCCATGTGCACCCCTGGATCACACGACCAGAAAACAGGACCCCAGAGGTTTCCAGAGTCTCTGCTTACCAGGGAGGCTGGGGCAGCCCTGCCGGCCCATCCCTGAGCAGAGCATACCCACATGGGGCAGAGCAGGGTTTGGCTGGGCTGGACAGGGCAGGGCGGGGCAGTGGGCTCTGGAAGGGGCTGATGGTAGCAGATAGGGTGTTGCCTCCTGCCTGCAGGTGGGGAGCACCCTGACTGAGTGGGCTGAGAAGGGTTGGTCACCAGGCCTGGACCCCCAGCTCCTTTGGTTATAGGCTGACATCAGAGTAGTGGCTCATGGGAAGCGGTTAGCTGGAAGGTCTGAGGCCTGGCTCATGGGGTCAAGGAGGAGCTGGGGGAAGGGGACAGTACCATGAAGGCAGATAAAGGGGCAGCAGCCTCAGGTTTCTGCCCCCCACCCCCACCCTCCTGGGGTTTTCCAAGCCAAAGCCTGCAGCTTACTTTAAAAAAAAAAAAAAAAAAAAAAAGGCGCACTTAAGGAAAGTTACAGACAACTACCAAAAAAAAAGAAAAAAAAAATCAACAAACAAACAAAAAAACCCCCCCCACACAAAATCCAAACCATTCTCCCATCTCCCCTCCCGCCTCCCCCCAACACAATACAGTTCCTTGTTTTCATTTCTTTCTTTTTTAAAAATTTCCTGCCACCTCTCCATCTGGGAAGCCAAGGGTACAACTGCTGGGGGGTGGTGGCAGGCACAGAGCGGGCAAAGCCCCATCTTTGGCCAGAGGGAGGTGGGAGCACCAGTCCCTACTACATCCTCAATCCACAGACACCATCAGCTGACCTTTCTTTCGGTTCCCGCTAGGGGAGAGGGGGGCAAGAGCAGGTGGTCCCGATGGCTGAGCAACCAGTACTCCTGGCCGGGCCACCTGGCCTACCTCTGTGCCCTTCTCCAACTGAAAGGACAGTCTCATCTCGGGCCAGAAACCACTATTACGCGAGGGCTGGACACTGCATCTAGAAGGAGGAAACTTGGTCAGGGCAGTGGAGCTATAGGCAGCAGCCGACCTTCTTCCTTGCCCACTCCTGGGGGTCACCCCCTCACAACAGCCTGTGGGCACAACCCAACAGCCTGTGGCTTCCTCATGACCGAAGAAGCTCCGTCCCAGCTCTGCGCACGCACAAGTTCCCGGCTGCTCACGGTCACAAGGCTGTGCTCTGGGCTAGCTGCGGATTCCAACGGCAGCTGGCCCTTCCTCCTCAGCAGGAGATGCAGTGGGACACGGCTTGCTGGGCCTGGCCTACACTCCCACAGGGCAAGGCTGAAAGGCAGGTGAACCAAAGATGGAGTGAGCCTGCAAAACTGACCTTGTCACCTTGGCCACCCCAAGCTGCCCTAATCACAAAAAGTCCTTTCACCCACTCCCAAACTCATCCGCTGAGTGGGAGGCTATCTGGCTGGCTGAGGGATAAGGCGCGGTGCAACGGAAGAGACCAGAAAGCCTGAGAGGACCCCGATTGTACACACACACACACACACACACGCACAGCTGCTCTGCGCAGTTGCCCTTAGCCTCTTCCACCTTAAAGAGCCAAAGCACATCTCTAGGCTCTAGGGACAGAGGGGAAACTGCCTTCATTCCAGGCCCTCGCTCTGGAAAAATGGGTGAAGGGTAGCCTGGGTCTATGGGGAACCAGTCTGTCACCCTCAATCTTTGCAATGCACAGCTTGCCTTTTCCCAAATGAATGGTCGGCTCCCAAGGTAATGTTTCACAAAGGAAACATTGGTTACCAAGCTGGTGCCATCAACAGAGATGGTGCTCCACAGACCCTTGAGAGTTTAGGCATTGCTGGAGCGGGAAGATCTAGCCACCTTCTGAGCACACTGGGCACGAGGCTCGGAGTCCTGGAGCCTCTCTCTCCTGGCTCTCCTCGGACTAAGAGCAAAACACTGAGCAAGTCTCACATCCCTTACTTCTGAGCCCGGAGTGCATCTCACTCCCTGCCCTCTTCCAAAAGGAGCAAGCCTGGCTGGCAGGGAACCACCCTGAGGGGTATGGGAAGGGGAAGTCTGTTCACTTTCCCTATCTCCCAAAATACTAGAGGTGGGGTTGGCACCCTCCCCAGGCTCTCTCAGCCTGTACAGCTAGCTCAGTGTCCAGGTAGGGCCTAGATGCCCTGGGACTTAGCTGAGGGAGGGAGGTATAGGCATGGGGTGCTCATCTGTCCGGGGGGCTGCGGAGCCCTGCCCCTCTTCTGGGCGGCAGTAGGAATACAGAAGCTAAGCTCACTGAAGTCCTATTGGTTAATGTTTCTAGTGAATTTCCCAGAAACATTTTTAAGTAGACTACCAAACTACCCTTTCTCAATTAAAAATTCATTAAACTGCTAAAACCCCTCCTCCCGTGCACTTTTCCTTGCAAATCAGGTATTTGTATAAACAAACAAAAATAGGAAGGAGAAAAAAAAAGAAAGGATATTTTCAAATGGAACTTGCTTTTAAGTGATGAAGACATGCACTTGCAGGTGGGTGGACGGGAATTCTCATCTGTGTTTTGAAATCCCAAATTAATGAGCATGATAAACTGTTATTGCTGGCACCGGCTTTACCCCAAGTGGCCAAGTGGCACTGTCTGCCTCTCCGAGTCCTTCGTGGGTCCCCCCAACCCTCCCCTGACCCCCACCCTTTCCCTTTCCATTGACTTGGGACAGCCCTTGTAGACGTGCCAATCACAGTGGGAAGGGGGGGGGAAGGAGGGAGGTCACAGTGCATGGGGTTCAAGGTCACAGTGGGCGGAGCAAAGGGGATCACAGTGCAAGTAAGTCAGGTCGTTCCCTCTGCTCAAGTCCAGCTGTCTGCCACAGCAGTGCGACCCGTGGCGGACGACCCAAGAGGCGGCGGCGGCGGCAGCGGCATCCTTTCCCGCACGCATTTATCTGCGCTGTTTGAAGCCCTGTGACCCATCTGGACCCAAAGGCTGTCTGATCACATTATTGGGCTGCCTGCTGTCCTCAGGTTGGGAGATCCTGGTTGGCCTGGAGGGAAGAAGATCAGAGGGTGGCCTGAAAAAGGACATAAAAAGAGGTCCCCAAATCTTAAAACTGCAGCTAGAGCACAAGGCAAAGTAGCTGTCAGCCAGCTCTGGCTCCCTCTCCGACGAGCAGACTCAGGGGACCTGCAAGTTGCGAAGCCCCCGTGGGCAGGTGAGGCAGGTGGTCTATGTTCACCTGAGCAGTGGCAGCGCGCTTCCCCTGAATCTAGAGGGCAGGGAGAGTGCTCAAGGGCCCAGCCTGTCCAGAGGCAGTGAGCCCGGACAGCTTAGCCTCCACAGAACTATGTGGCGCAGACCCTTCAGGGTGTCGGGCAAAGGTAAAGACCCCTAACCAAGAGCTCAGGAGAGGGACCAGGCACCGGCCATGGCTGCCCTCCTGCTTCTCTCCGAATCATGTGGTTAATGGTTGACTCATTTTAACATGGAAGACTACAAGGAAACAGACCTCTTCTAGGCTGCCAAGTGAAGGTTTAGAGGAGAACGGGAGTCTATCAAATTAATCAAGGGACAGGAAGAAGGTACATAGATTAGTTCAAGTCCCAGAAGAGCAAACCCAAGGAGGCCTCTCAAAGTCAGAAAGAGGCTATTTTAACAAATACTGCTTTAGCAGGAGGTGACAAATTTACATAACGCAGCCTCTAGGACTGCAGAGGGAAAAATAAGTGCTGGGAACGAAAAAGGATTTAGAAAATGCACCAAACATCACAGAGAGCTATTATGAGACCCAGAAGATAACATCTAAGCACTTCGTGGGGCACCATCTGCTGTGCCAGGCGGGGTTCTCAAAACACTACACATTTATTTGCACAACGAGTTGACAAGGGAGGTACTATCGTTATCCCATTTCCCCCACAGATGAGGCTATGAGGGTACAGAGAGGTTAGGCAGCCGGAAGTGGAAGGAAATGGCAGATTGTGACTCAGAGTTTGTGCCTTTAACCTCTGTGCCACACTGCCCTCCTCCCCACCCCCATGCCCAAGCCTGCAGAGGCGGCAGAGCAGTAAGCCACGACCTCAAAGCTTGCAGTCCCGAGCCGAAGCAGCAGACCCTGAACTTGCCCACCAGGTTGGGCTTGGCAGCTGGAGCTGCCACGGTTCCAGACCTGATTCTGCCTGCTTCTCACTACTCTGCCCGCAGCCAGGCCACTCCCCCTTCCACCTCGGAACGGCCTGGCGGAGTGGCGGATGGTCAGCCCCACCGGCTGCACTCACCTGTCGAGGATGGGTTTCTCTTGTTCCTCCTCGGGGCTGGCGCTGCCCAGGATCCGCTTCCGGGCCTCGGCGTACTCCGCCTCACGCTGCGCTAGGGACTTGACAGGAAGGGCTGGCCTGCTGGTGGAGTTGGGGCTGCTGACCACACCATTGCTGGTGGGCCTCTTGAGGATGCGGATCTGTGGAGGGGGCCCCGTGGGAAGGCTATCGTCCTGAATCACAATGGGCACTTTGGGAGGAGATTTGGATTTCCTGCTGACAAAGAGCAAATACAGCTTCACAAGTCTTACCCTTGACTCCAGAGGCCCCATCCATGTCCCTCACTCACCCCCATCACTTTCCCCTCCTTCCTCCTAATTCTAGTCGTTATTCTCTGGCCTCTGACCAGACACCAAAACTCTCACTCCTCAAAAGGGGTTTCCCAAAAGAGCAACCTTGCCATAAGCTCATGTCGTCCTCAGGTCTGCTCCTCAGACCTAACCCCAGGCAAAGGGGGGCTGGAACAGCACCTCATTCTGGGACTTCTATCCCCCGGTTCACAGTCACATCAACCACTGTTTGGCCCCTGTGGCAAAACATTTCGTGCCCAGAATCCAATGACGTCAGTTAAAATCCCAACTTCCCTACACAGAGCAGAGTGTAACAGGCCGGTGTGGTAGGACCCCTTAGCTGAGGGGTCAGCAAAGTGTTCACTCTAGCCATGGCCTCCACCACAGGTGCTCACACCGGTCAAACACTACAAAGGAGCCCGCTCCACCATCCCTGCCTGGCACCAAGACGGGGTTTACCAAACCGCCTCAGCCTTCTGGTAGTGACCTGTGCCTCCCAGAGACAAGCTACTCCAGACAACTGGATCATCTCTTCAGAAGAGCTTCTGAGCAGAGACACCTCCCTCACCATGGCTCCCTGGGATGCTGGACGCGGCGGGGCTGGGGTAAAGGATGATCCTAGAAACAGTGCTTGGCAGTGCTCAGAGGAGAAGCATTGTCCAAGGCGGGTGGATGTGCACACCGGGCAATGTGTCCACAAGGAGATGTGGAAAACCACACAGGAAGGGAGAGAAACAAAAGCCACCAGGGAAAAAGGGATCCAGGCAGGAATGACGGCCCTTCAACAGCCACAAAGACCCTTCCCAGAGCAGCCCCAACTAGCTTCTCTTCAGAAGCCAACAGCCTATGGGGGGGCCTGTTTTTAGAGCCCCAGTTGGCAGGATGGGAAGGGGCTGGAGCAACTCAGCTGCTGCCAGGGGGACTGGAACAAGTCCCACACGGGACAGGAATGGCATGGCAAAGGGACTGTAACCAGACATCAGTGCAGTTGCTGAGACAAGCAGACAGACAAGGAGCCAGCAATCTGATCAGAGGCAGGGAGCCAGGAAACTAGCGGGTGGGCAGGGCACCCTGGCGTCCCCTGGGGAATGATAAGCAAGTCCAGAGAAGTCCTCTCCTCCTCCTCCCTTCACTGTCCCTGTGGGAAGCCCACAGGTTACCTAAGTCCAAAGACAGACGGCTGAGGTCAACTTTCATGTGCTCTGAAACCCACTTTCTCTGCTGTCTGGGTGGGGGAAAATATCCTTAAAAAGGTCTTTGAGAATTTCTGAGAATCTTCTCTTCCAGAATACCCCCATAATGCCCTCAGCCACCACATCATGGAGGGCCCAGAGAAATCATCTGTCCAACCTCTTTATGTCACATAGAAAGAAACTGATGTCCAGAGAGGAAAACAGCTTGTCCCAAACCTCAGAGCAACTGGAACAGAGCCAGCCTAAAACCCAAGTTTTCTGACTTGTCACCTCCCCACTTTCCACCAGACCACCTCACACCGGGTACCCACTAAGTTAGAAGGCAGATTCGACAGTCAAGCCTCACTCTCAGAGCCTCCAGCCACCACATCCTGGAGGGACACGCTCGGGAACCTGCCCTGCAAACCCTAACGGCCACCTGGAGAACACCACTGACTGCCCAGCTCTCAACTGGCAGAGAGCATGAGCCCTCAGACCAGACAGCAGCCTTACCTCTCCTTTTGTGTGATCTTCAGTTTTTTTTCCAACCGTCTGTCTATTTCCTAGAGGAAAAAAATGTATATAAAAAGTGGAAAAAAATCTCTCTTAGATAAAAACTTATGTCTTTATTTTCAGAGCTAAGGATGGTGTCCTCTGAGCAGGGACATTAGTGTGCCCTTTGAGGTAACGGATGCAGATCTCCCTTTACTAGACTCGGGTTTGGGAACCTGACTCCCTAAAGGTTCATCTCCCTCCATCCCCATGGCCATGGTGATAGTTCTAGACCTCATCATGCATCTGGGTTCTTTGTATAGCTTCCGACTAGTCTTCTGGCCTCCAATCTGTCCTTCACAGAGCCACTCAAATCAACTTTCTACACAAAAATCTGGTTGTGTCACTTCCCCACTGAAACCCCTTCAATTGCTTGCCAGATTAAGTCCAAGCTCCTAAGCACGCCTCGCCCCTAGCTTCCTTTATCTTCTGTTCCTGTTTTACATCACTGTGACACTGAGATGTTACTAAGCCCCAGAACCCAGCATGCTGATCCACCCACCCGCAATAGCCTCCCCTTTGCAAACTTCCACTGACCCTGCAAACCCCACATTGACATTGGCCTTTGTGCGGTGAAATCTCCCTGACTCCGTACACAGTTCATCTCAGACATTAGGCTCTCCCTTTTCCATTCCTTCATAAGCACAGGTATCACATATTTTACAGCCTCTTCTCTCCCACTGTTATGGACTTGAACTCTGTGACTGGTACCTAACCAAAGGTCTAGAACAAAACAGAAGCCTAACATCTGTGAAACTGGATGGCAGTGAGCCCTCAGGCCCTCGGCACCAGGAACTCTGTGATGCTCCCATACCCTCACGCACAAGGGTCCACACACTGGACAGGGGAAGCTGTGCGCGGGCAAAGACCAAACCTTCAGGCTCCTTGGCTGCCCCACTGCTTTTTCATACGAAACATCCCACTCAACTGTCCTCAGTGAGGACAAGAACATTTAGCTACTGGGGTAGGAAAAGGTGTATGAAAAATTATATTATTTCTCTGAAGAAAAGGCTTTTAACAGTGGTTCTCAACCAGGACTGGCTTTGCCCACCAGGGAACATTTAGCGGTGTCTGGAGACATTTTTGGATGTCCCTGCCAGAGGGGAGGTGCTACTGGCAGCTAGTGGGTAGAGTCCAGGGACACTATGCTGCGAAAATCCTATAATGCACAGAACAGCCCCCACAGTGAAGTATTACCTAGCCCCAAATGTTAGTAGTGCTGAAGTTGACAATCTTGACCTACAGGATATATGGGATTTTTCAAAGGAGTCTAGAACTTGCAAAATGTTAAGAATCACTGCCTTAACTGCCAGTAAAGTCTTTGAAATTTGCTGAGATCCACCTCAGGGCCAAGTGGGTAGCCAGTTTTCATGTTCCAAATGTCTTGAAAATGACTATTCTACAGCTGATGAGTACAGTTCAAGCTGGTTAACTATAATGTTCAGAACCTCTACATTCTTACTCATTTGTTAGGTTTATTGACTATGCAAAGAATCAAAGATTATTTTCTAGTAAATTACCATTATGAAATGATCTTCTTTGCCTTAAAATTTATTATTTAATATGAATAAAGCTGTGCCAGTTTTCTTTTGGTTAGTATTCCCCAGACTGTTTCTCTCTTTTCCTTCTCATCTTTCCCTCTTCTTACTTTTGTCTCCTGTAAACAATATGAAGCTTGATTCACCATGTGAAGCTAGATTTCAATCCAGTCGGACACCGACATTCACTCTGATTGGTGCTGAGTTGTGTTTAACAGATTTTGGTTTTTTCACCTACCCAACATATATTTAGGGGCAAGCACAACAGACTGTATTCTGAGGGTCCCATCAACTCTGGGGAGGGGCTACGAAGCCACCAGATGGAAGACCTCTCCTTCAAGCTTAGGATACATGCTGACACTCAACAACTGTCTGGTGACTGACTGGCAAAGGTGTACTGAGAGCACGGGCATGACCTGGATGGTTTCTGGGAACTGACAGACGCGCAGAGTCTAGGCTCACAGCACTGTCTGTGTCAGAATTGTAGTTCTTCTAAATTTTTTTTATTAATACCGGTGGTATAGCCTGAGTAGATCCTATGTCTCACATTAGTCTAAAGCCCGTTACCATGTAAGGGCTTTCCACAAATAACTTGGTTTTAAAGCTCCATACTGTCTCATTTTGTTCCCACCTGAAAATGACACTAAATTCTTACTCAAGTTTCTCCATCATAAATGCAAGGTCTACCATCTGTGGGATTTAGAGGCCCTCACACAGGGTCAGAACCAAATGCCTCCACGGGCCAGGCAAGTAACCCAAACTCCTTTTGCAGGGAGCCCAGTGGGGAATTGAAGGGGCTGCAAGGCACCAAAGGGCACTGGCCCTGCCTACAGACAGGCAGCAGAGCCTTGGCTGACATGGCCAGAGCTGCTATTTTAGGAAAAAACAAATTCAAGATTTTTATGGGAAAGCTCTACATTTTTAAACTTCATTACATGAACTCTCACTTTCATATCACTATAAGATAGCCAAATAAGGCATTTAGGCAAATGGGCTAATACGTGACTCAAATTTTTTTTTTAAATTGTGGTAAAATACACATTACTTTAGCTGAATGTGAGAAGTCCCATCCAGGTTTCTCTCAGGAGAGCAAACTGCTTCCTTCTTTCTGTAGGGCCTTAGGGAAGATAGAGAATTTGCCCAGGCCCAGCAAATGGAGGCTGGATAGAGAAAAGCCCTTTAAGAGGGCATTACGGACCATATCTGAGTAAAGGGGCCTCTGTCCCCAGACTACATATACCTGACATATAAACGGCTGGCTTTAAAAATAATGCCTTGGGCGCCTGGGTGGCTCAGTCGGTTAAGCATCTGCCTTCGGCTCAGGTCACGATCCCAGGGTACTGGGATCAAGCCCCACATCAGGCTCCCTGCTCAGCAGAGAGCCTGCTTCTCCCTCTCCCTCTGCCGCTCTGCCTACTTGTGCTCTCTCTATCTCTCTGTCAAATAAATAAAATCTTTAAAAAAATAAAATAAAAATAAATAAAAATAAAAATAATGCCTTACGTCAATATAATGCTTTATGGCTGTCAAATACACTTCCCCCAGACACTCATTTTCTGTTTACACCACCCCTGTCTGATAGACGAAAGAGCTTTTACCCCTTTCTGTCAGATGAAGGAATGTGGCTCTGGGAGGTTAAGAAACAAACCCAATGTCACAAAGTAAACCACAGAGGCAGCCCGAGAACTGCGGCCTTTCGAGGCCCTCCCCAACGCCGGCACAGCTCCACAGCTGCTCAACCCCCTGGAGATGGTAAAGCCAGTAGATCCTGATCTCTTCCTCATCTCCCCTGAATGTCACACTGCTCCGTGGCGCTCCAATGACTAGCGCTCCCATCAAACTCCATCACACCAGGCAGGATGGCTTATCAGAGCTGAGCAGGAATTCTTCCATCAGATTAGAGAATGGGATATAAATCCAACAGCTTTGGGAGAAAGCTGATCCCGACCATGTCCAGACGGCCAGCTGGACACCAGTGTGCCCAGAGCTGGCCCTGCTAAGGAGTGCCCTGCCAGCAAATGGAGAGAGCGCTGCAGCTCCCTCTGGCGTCTGTCCAGATATCATGAGTCAGAACATTCTCTTTTTGGACAAGGCCTTGCAATGGAGCTGCTCTCAGTCTCGTGCTCTGAAGCGCTGCACCAAGCCAAAGCTTTCCTACGGGGTGCACTACAAGGAGAATGCCTGTCTCCTCCAGAGACAAGTGGAGCCCAGTGGAATTAAACAGGCCTCAGAATGCTGTGTGAGGAAGCATCTAGATGTGGGCCCCAACAAGAAACCTATTACCTAAGGGCACCTTCTCTTTTCATAAGGATGAACAGAACCCTGGTCCAAGGTCAACACTTCTGTGTTAGAGGCCCAAACTCCACACGTAGTGAAAGAAACCCATATATAAGCTCATCACTCTATGACTTCTCGGAGCGACAAGGGGTCACCAGGACACAAGCAGGTGTTAGGGCATAAGCATTATCAGAGGAGAGGTGCTAAGAAAAGTTTGATTTCCCATGACTGTTCCTGGAAAGGCTGCTATTTTTGGTCAAGTAGCACTGAGCAGACTCCAGAAGATGATGCCCTGTGCTCTGCTAAGAGGTGTGGTCTCCTCTTTGGGTCAAAACCTAAGCAAAAGCTCTGTTGCTACTAACAGATACAGAGATCACTTGCCCTGTGGGGCTACATCTCTACAAAATGAGGTACACCCTTCTTGGTCCGACAGAACAAGCAAAACCAGAAGGAAGGAGTGAAGGCAGGAGGTCATGAAGAACCACAGTGGGGAGCAAGGTAGTTCTAGACAGGGCCAGTCCCTTATGGGAGGTAAAGGAGAGGCCCCAGCCACAAGGTGAATGAAGTCAGATGCAGCGAAGCAACATCTGCAAATTCCACTCACCTGAGGAAGAAGCACAGATTCACTGGCTGCTGATGCCCTTAACCTTGCAATGACTGTCTTTGTGAGCTCCCACAGAAAGCTGGGGGATGGAGGCACACGAGGGAAAGAGCAGGGAAGGGGACATCCCAGCCTACTCTGTTACACAGCCACCATCTTCAAAAGGATTAAAGGAGACAAAGAGGATAGGGATGAATCTGCAAGGGGAGGCAAATTAGCAGTAAGAGGTGGATGAGAAAGGAAAAAACAAAAGTGGGAAGCGGAGAGAAGAGGCAGAAAGGCAAAGAAGAGCAGTAACTGGGCTGCTCTGGGCCTTGGTGCAAAGTACAGCAAGTACAGCTCAGCCACAGCTGTACTCTCAGGCCTGAACATTCAAGAAACAGACTACTCAGTTTACCTAGGGGTGATGACGCCCTGGGGGACTGATTCAAACTAGCCAAACTCACAAGAGACAGAGTGAACAAACCCAAATCCTCCTCTGCTACACTGGGGTGGAGGGGGTGTCCACCCTTTCTGGTGCCTGACCTTCTGCTGTCCCCCGCCACCCCCCACCCCCCACCATAGTGCCAAAGGAGCGGACTATCCTGTTCCACCA